TTCTTTTTTTTTTTTTTTTTTTTTTTGAGTTGGAGTCTCACTCTCTGTCGCCCAGACTGGATGCAGCCTCGACCTGCCGGGCTCCGGAGATCCTTCCGCCTCAGCCTTCCAAGTAGCCGGAACTACAGGCGTGTGCTACCACGCCCGGCTGAGTTTTTGATTTATTGTAGAGATGAGGTCTCGCTGCCCAGGCGGGCCTCGAGCCCGCGGGCTCAGGCAATCCACTCACCTCAGCCTCCCAAAGCACGGGATTACAGGCTGAGCCACCGAGCCCAGCTTTCTTGTTTTTTTTGAGTTGGAGTCCCGCGCTGTCCTGGCTGCCTTTCCACTGGTATCCTGTCACCAAGCCCTTTACACACAGGACTTCATTTAATCCTCACAATGACGCCAGGAGGCAATCATTGTTGTCGTTCCCATTTTACAGATAAGAAGAACGAAGCATAGAAGAGTAAGAAAGATCACCAGCCAGTAACTCTTTAAGTCAAGGTTCCAGTGAACCCAGGCAATTTGGCCCAGAACCGAAACTCTTAGCCACCACCGATATTGTTTCTGTTCCCCGGACAGTTTCTCCCCGGGCACAGAAGAATCATGGATCCTACAGGCCTAAGAGCTTGGGGGGATGGGATAGAGGGGGAACGGGTTCCCTGGACGCCCAAGGAGGTGAAGATGAGATGGATCGCACAGGTCACCTGGGCCATCTCCCAGAGCCCCCAGGGTCTGGGCAGTAAAGAATGGTCCTAAGTCTGCATGTGAACTTGGCAGGCCCTCTGGAGCCCAGTCCAAGGGCTGGGACCTCCTGGAGCGAGCAGGAGCGCAGAGACCCTCCTCCACCCGTACTCAAGGCCTGGTAGAACAGACGGCCTTTCCTGACGTCCCGGGACTGGGCATGGGCCCGGCCTCACCTTCACTATTCTCCAGGATGTTGGGGGCAAAGCCGCCCTCGTCCCCCACGTTGGTGGCATCCTTGCCGTACTTGTCCTTGATGACCCCCTTGAGCGTGTGGTAGACCTCTGCGCCCAGCCGCATGGCGTCCCGAAAGCTCTCGGCACCCACCGGGAGGATCATGAACTCCTGCATGGCCAGCTTGTTCCCAGCGTGAGAGCCGCCGTTGATCACATTGAAGGCCTGCGTTGCCGCCGAGAGCCTCAGGTGGCGGCTGGCCCTTCCTCCCCCAGCCCAGGAGCATGACCCCACCACCCGCACGTCCTCCCGCCCCCACCCAGCCTGCCGGCCCAGTCCCTATCCTTCCTGCCCACCTGCCCGGTTCACTCTCCTCCCATCACCCCTGGCCAGGGGCCTGCGCCCCACCCCAGGAGAGGCCCAGCGCTCAGCGCTCAGCGCTCACCGGCACGGGCAGGATGAGGTCTGCGTTCCCGGCCAGCTGAGCGATGTGGCGGTACAGGGGCAGGTCTCGCTCAGCTGCCCCTGCCTTACACACGGCCAGGGACACACCCAGGATGGCGTTTGCCCCAAACCTGGCTGGGAGATGACGGAGATGACGGAGGAAGACGCTGAGCACAGAGGCCCTGACTCTTCCAGCCCCTGCCTCCGCCTACACTCCCCAGAAGGAGCCGGGACAGCGCCAGGCCACCCCTTCTCTCCTGACCACAGCAGGTACCTGAAGAGGGCAGAGAGCCTATTTCTCAACGCCCCAGGCCCCAGACACACCCCTCCAGCTCCCCCCTCGTCGTGCCACGGCAAGTCCTTCCTCTGTCTGTTGTCGCTCCCTCCCGCTGCAGCCAAATAAGCTTCTCTTGCTTCGGTGGGAAGGGGCCCAGGAAGCGCTCTGGCAGCCGTTCCCAGCAGGCACCGCGGCCTGCCCTCCGGCTGGCTCTGCCTGTCCAACCCCCCACCCTCAGGCCTAGCCACTCCCCCCAGCCCCCGCCCCCAGGCCACCCACTCTCCCCCAGCCCCACTTACACTTGTTCTCAGTCCCATCTAATTCCAGCATCAGGTTGTCCAGTTTCTCCTGCTCAACCACAGAGAGACCCTGCAGGCAGAGGCTCCGTCACCCGAGCCAGGCTGAAGGCTGGGCCCCGCCCCCCCACGCCCGGCCATTCGCAGGCTCGCGTCTGGCCAGGGCCTAACTGAGTCCCTGTGACGGGGATCTGCCGGGATTCGGGGCCGGAACTCCCACGGGAACAGGGTGCAGTCAGGAGGCTCTTCCCCACCCTTCCCTGGGAGCCCCGGTTCCTAAAAGGCGGGCCCTTCCGCCTCCCCTGCGCCAGGGCCCTGCCGGCAAGCCCTAGCAGAGAGTGGGCCTCACCGAGCCGACCAGGGCAGGCGCGATGGTGGTGTTGATGTGGTCCACGGCCTTCAGGACACCTGGGGAGAGGACGCGCCAGGAGGAGC